TCTCAGCACATGTGCTCTTCCGTCTGGAGCGGTCAGCTCCATCACATTTTCGGGGCCGTGGCTTCTGGCTGAGCAAGCTTTGGGGAGGGCAGCCCGTCGGTGCGTGCCCATACAATTCCAGATCACAGCCTTCGGCCAGCGCCGAACAGTCTCCTTCCCGGTAGCAGCTCGTTCGTAGATCATAGCATGTTGAGGCCAGTGGGAACGATCGAGTGTGGGTGTGAGACCAGATGCAACAGCTGTGCTTTCCTCTTCTCTTCTTTGCCGTGCCGGAACGGTTTTTTTTTGTCGTATTGGTGATGGTAGTCGTCGTGGTGGTCCTCGTGGTCGTCGTAGACGACTGTGGTAGTAGTAGTAGTAGTAGTAGTAGTAGTAGTAGTAGTAGTAGTAGTAGTATCAGCAGCACCATGTTGAGCTACAGCTGCAAAACTCCTCGTCCTACCTGTTCGCTCGATCGCTGGCAAGAATTTTCCTTTCGCGACGATCTCTCGTGTGCAGAGTCGGTTGCACCTTGCAAACGAGGCATTGAGGTTCGGATCTAGCTTATCATTTCGAGTCGTGTCCGTCCAGCAGGACATTCGGCAGGGACCCAAGAAGGTTAGCATGGTACTTCGCAGAAAAGTCTCGTGCAGCATTGAGATCGTATGTTGGCACATTCAACTCGCTAGCTGCTAGCTGTTGAACGACGATCTTTTGGCTGTCGTGATACTTGAAACCCAACAGGAATGCCTCGTTTCGCAACAGCTGCTGTCACGCTAGAAATGTGTGACGAGTTTTCTCTGGGGTAGTCCTCACCTCGACTGGGACAAGCATTGGGAACGGCTGCAGTCCACTCAATTTGCGATCTGCTACTATGTGATGTGTCTTCGGGTCTGCAGCCTGACTCCGTGCTTCCAGCCGTAGCGGAGACGAGGTTCAAGCCGGATCTTTTCAGCTTTCGGTCTTGGGGTCCTCCTACGACGCGCAGCACAGCACGAAGCGACTTCAAGACTCCATCGAAGTCAGCTCGCGAAACCCATCAAAATCCCAAATTCCAGTTACAACTTTTGGCGAAGACCTGTGCGGTTTATTCTAATGATCACTACTTGTTTGAAGTGTACAGGTCCATGTCGTGGATCGGTTCACCGCGGGTTTTGCCTCCCAGTATGAGTTTGAGAATGTCGTCATTTTTTCGCGGTCTGAGTCCAGGTCGCGACTTCCGGCAAGAAGGGCTCACGTCTCACGTCCTTTCGTCGTGGTTAAAGGATCTTTGAAGTTCGGGTCCGTTCGGCTCGGACGCCAGGTCCCTTGTAGGTCCTGTTTTGGGGATACCCCGTAGGTCATGAGTCTGGTATGGACTTGGAAGCGGCTGCTCCTCTCTTCGCTACGTAGGCTTCCCGCCTTCAAGCTAGTCGCAGAATTTTCAAGTCATAGCGGCCAACAGCCGCAAGGTCTGACGTGGCCCATGAAAACGAACGAAAAAGAATGGAGGAACGAACGAATGCCACTTTGGAGACTCCTGCTTGAAGGTCTGTGGAAGCTCGAGCAGAACCGCCCTCAGCCCTCGGCACGCTTCCTTGGAAGTTTTGCCCAGGAGCCGCAACTCCCGGCCCCCTTGAAGCCACTTGGAGTATCGGGGAGCCGGGGATGCAGAGAAAGGCGGGCGAGGCTTGTGTTAAAAGCCCCACAGAGCCTGCCCGCAATGTCAGGAAAATGCTTCGCTCTGCGATCGGACATGCAAGCTTAAAGTCAGCACGCAGGAAAGATCTGTACAGTGTTATGTCGACCGTGTTCACCGGTTCTTGTCCGGTCCGGAGCCTGTCAGTGCAGTTTGAAGGAAGAAGCTGCTGTGGCCAGGGGCTGTTGGCACATCCGAGCCGAGAATGATGAGCATGATGTTATCGTTGTCAAAGCGGCAACGACGCCCCGAACATGGCGAGCAGCATTGCGTTGCCCTAAGCTGGCGCGCGTTTCTTGTTTGAAGTAGAGGTTGGCTGTGTCCAGGGTCGAGGAATGGGGTCAGGTCGTTGGCCTTCTCCGTCCGCTCATATAGACCAGACGAAAACCGAGTTTGACAAATTTCATTCAGTTTCCCGAAGATGAAATTCTTTCCCCATGCGTAAAGGTCGAATTTACAACAAACTTGAGTCTCAAGAGTATGTTTCGGGGCTGACGGCATGGAAGCTTCGTTGTTCGAATGGTTTATCGTTGCTTTACTTGAGCTGAAGATTCCATATGTTTTTTGTTGTTCGGTGAAGCGAGCAGTGTGTCACATGTCGTTTTGCATCCGTGGAAATCCCCGCATCTTCCGCCCCTTGTGATCCTGTGGGAAGCACCCTTTACAGGGATTCAAAGGTGTGGGATGTGAACCCTTTCGAACTTGATCGACCGACTGCGCTGCCAACCTGTCAACCATGCCTTGCACAAGCCATTTGCTTGCTTGCTTGCTTGCTGGGTCCGCTACATCAGGCACCAGTGAAAGGTGCTTTGGATGAGCTGGCACTTGAGCTTAAATCAGCAATGGGACGATAATGTGGGATTCAGATTCTCCGGTGAGGCCGTGTTGGGTGAATGCATTGTGTTGCAATGCTGGTGCAATCTGCTGGGATTATGATTTCAAGATGATGCTCGGGGTACAGGAGTGCGAACTTTTTGTGCCAAGTGCTCGATGGGTTTGGGGGCACGAAGGTTGCCTGGATGAAGATACTTAGGTACAACATGACGGGAGTGAGGGTTTTTGGAGCTCTCGCCAGGAAGTCGATATCGTTTCTTGGTTTCAAGTGCTGAGCCCATCGAATTTTGATCGTTGTGTCGCTTTGATTTCGAAAGCGGCATCACTTCGCCTCGGCTATACAGAGTTACTGAGGCAGGGAAGAATGGAGCCAATGCGGGGCGTTGAAGACAGCATCAAGATGTAGAAATCATAGAAAGCTAATGACAAATTTGCAACTGGCATGTTCGGTCTCATCTTTGCAACTTGCGACCAGGTCTTCACCCTTCTTCTCCCACACGCGCGTTCAGCGCAGAATTCAATAGTGGCCCCTCCATTGCACAGCGGATGGGGGAAAAGTGATACTGCGTTTGGCCAGTTGGGAGAACCAGCTGCGACGTGGCACGGGATCCCAAGACCTCCGCGCAGTGACTTATCTCCTCCGCAATGTGCTGGGCTGGCTGCTGGTGCAGGAAACCTTTCAGGTGGCTGAGAGTCTGCGAGAGGGAGCAGGGTCATGAAATCATGGATGTGGCCTCACGCATCTGAGCCTTGTGCCCTTGCCTTGTACGGGTACTCTCCAAGTAGCAGGGGCGGCGGATATTGCGACGCAGCATCGAGACTTGTTGGAAAGCCGATGGGTGGCAGAGACGTGGGTCACGAATTGTCGAAAATCAATGGCACTCGAAGTAAAGAAGACTCGTGAAATCGCATTGGCATAAGGAGCAGTAAGTAGCTGTAGCAGTGAGACAGTAGTTGTACCGTTGTACCCGTTCTCGTCTCCTCGTCGTGTTCGTCGCCGGACTCGTCCTGGTCCTCGTTGTCATCTCGTCGTCGCTTCGTTTAGAAATCGAAGTAGCAGTCGTCGTGGCAGTAGTCATCTCAGCAGTCGTAGGAGTCGTAGTAGTCGTCGTCTTAGTAGTTGCAATAGTTGTCGCAGTGGTCGTAGTACTGTAGTGGTCGCAGTGGCAGTAGTAGTCGCAGTGCTGGTAGCAGCAGTTGCAGCAGTAGCGACAGCAGAAGCAGAAACAGTAGCAGTAGTAGGAGTAGTATCAGGAGCAGCTGTCGTCGTCGTAGGATTAGTCGTCGTCGTGGTGGTGGTAGTCGTGGTGAAGGTTCGTGTGCTCGTGCCATTCTTGTTTGGTGTTGATGGTGGGAAGATGATGGAAATGGTGATTCGTGTACATTGTTGATGAAGGTGTGATGATGGTCTGGGTCATAATATCACAGCAACAATATCATAATGATAGTGGTGGCGATGGTGGCGATGATTGTGTTGATCACCTTCAAACAGGTAAAAACAGTTAGAGTCTTGGGGTGCGAAGCACTAATCGACTTCAATCCGACGCCATCAGATTGCTAGATTCTTAGAGATTGTGGATCGTTATCCAACCAGCACCAAGCTCGTTTGCTTGTCTTCCGCCGCCCGCATCGTTCGATGCAAACTCCGAATGATCCCATGCATCTGGGAAAAGAAATGGCTCCAACCTTTGAGGCGCGGTAGCTTCTTAAGAAGAAATCCCTGCAGGGGTTCGAAGTTGTGTGGGTTGCGATCGGCCGACAAATGCTGGATTGTCAGTTCTGCCTCGTTTCCTGCGTGCCCAGAACAGCCAGAGTGTGTTTGCGGGATTCGTGCTGTTTTGCATCTCGAGTTTTCGCGCACTGGGCCCTTCAAAAACATTCTTAGATTGTTGCTTTGCATGCAATCGGTTTCCGATGCAGGATATGCCAGCTTGAAAGGTGCAAGTGGTCTGACTAGAGTCACATCCGGGTTGCTAAGCGATGGCTGCACCAACGACGACCTTAAGCCTGCAGATGCAGCGCCCTTTTGCTTTTAGCAGAGTGCGGCATATGCAAAGCTTCTAAGGATTGATGTGTAGCGGTGCAGCAGTTCAGCAGTGCATATGTCCCATCGCCATACGCCGCATAGCCCTTCTTAGTCTTCACACGTGGTAGTACCCCACTTGGAGTAACTAAGACTCGACAGTGTATCTTCAGAATACTTCAAATTTTGTTTCCGAAAGGTGCGAAAGATGCGATAATCCAGCCTTGCATGATTGGAAGCGGCGAGCATCGAGCATCGAGCATCGCTCGGCTTTTGCACGGGACATGCAAAGGCATTGCAGGCGGAAGGTCTGGACTGTTTAAGGTCTAGTTTGTTAAATGTGCGTCGCAGTCACATACCCCGCCCATACACAAACAAAGCAAAAGCAGCCCGGACTCAAGGGCGGCTTCATCAAGCTTACGCGACACGCTGTGGGAGCAGCTCGGACCCAATCGCCGACTTTGGAGGGTTCACGCTTTGCAGGCGATGCGCAACATGGAAACGGGAAACGACTCTCAAAGCCACACAGCCGCCCTCGTGCCAGACAGAAGGGCCCCCGGCACCCTCGACTGCCCAGTTTGTGAGAGTCCAGCAAAAAAAGATGGCGTGGGAAGCAGGCACGTGACGGGCACGAGCGCGGCCCGGGGTGGCGAGGAAGTGGCTTCAGGCGGCATGAGAGTCGCGACTTCGCATGACCCATACGAGAGAGCCCTGCAGGGGGCAATGTGGCAATGGCTTGCAGAGGGTTGTTTTATGAGACATCAGTACACAGACATACTTCGTGGGACGTCCACTTCCTGGCCCGCAGCCCGGGTTGAGAGGCGGGCCAGCTCGGAGCCTCGAGGTCCTCAGTCCCACGCCATGGCAGCCATACCTTGGAACGAGCGCACCCTCTTCACTCCAGTGGAGTCAGGCCGAAGTGGTTGTGAGGGAAGAGACAGGGAGCCACGTAAGAGAGCAACACCGAAAGAGGTAGTTGCGAGACTTGGTCTAGGATGGCCTAGGGATTGAGGTTGACCATCTTCAAAAGAAAATACTTTACAACAGTTGCTATCTTCACGCAGCCTTTTCATGTACAGAGAGCTCGCACACTCCTGAATCCTAAACCGAAGCATCCGAAACCCCAATCTGGCAGGTGTCGGAGGCCTTATGGTTGGCATGCCACCTGTCTTTACAACATTTCTAGCCAGTCCAGGGCTCAGGGAAGGTTCAGGGTTTTGGGGTCCACGGATCTTTGAGGCACCAACATCAGCCAGCTCACTGGGGCTCTGAGACGGCACTAGATGCTGCTTCGTGTCGGTTCTGCATCGCCGCTTTCCCTTTTGGGGGGCCTGCCTTTCTGTGGACCCACGGAAACGCGGCAGCCAGCATAATCCCCGATCGGTCAGTTTCCAGCCCCCCAGTAAGCAGAGCTCAGGTACCCTTGGATATTACGGTCGTTTTCTCATGTTACCTTCTCTATTTGGATTGACTTCCTGCAGTCGCCACTCCCTTCAATTTTCCTCCCCAATGTTGGAGCTGGTGGAATTCGTTCAGAGACCTGGCTCATTCAAAATAGTTCAGGTTTAGGGCCCAGGGATGGCTGCGGTCCTCTCCATTGCAGCCTCAGTTCCGATAAGCAAAATTCCGTCTCGAGTTGCTCTGATGAAGGCGACAATGAGCGGGGCTGGTGTGACTAGCATTTTTTGTGCAAAGCAAACACCAAAACAGATAACGAAGCCCTGTTGTCGCTTCTTCAGCCCTTTCTTCCGTAGGTCTGCCGCAATGGCCTACCTCATTGACGGAAAGATCACTGGGATCTCGGGAATCGTCGGCCCTTTTGTGAGGGGAGCTACGAAGTGCGAACCGGTGAAGGACGGCTTGCCGCGCTGCTGCGATGCTGGGGTCGTCATAAGCAGCGTGGGACTGGGGTGTCCATCGGCAAATGTCAAGGTACGCCCAATGCCCGGATTGAATCGTGTGTGGTTGGTGGTCGAGAGGATGCAACCCAGTAGAATGTTTTCTGTAAAACAAGGAGCAAGATGCCTTTTGACTCATCTAGCTGTCCAGCAAGAGGATGGGCAGCTGTGGAAGCTTCTGTTTCTGACGGGCCTCTTCCTGGGCGGCTGGAGCCTCCGCTCAAGAGTCTGAAGGGGCCGTGAGTTTACTCGCAGCTTGCCTTCGAACAGGGGCGCATCGGCGACAGTCTTTGTTTGACGTCTATGCACTGCTCCGACCGGACCACCTTCTGCTAGATGAATGTACGCAGTGCGTTTCGTGGGCTGAAAAATTTGGTTGATGTGTCCTGTGGTTTTCTTCAGAGCTATAACGAGGCAACGTGCTCCTTAATGACCATGTGGTTTTGGCACGGTCCATGGGTGCGTAGGATTTGCAAAAACACGGCAAATGCGGGTTGTGTGCACTTTGTGCTTGTTTCGAACGCTTTCAAAGTACCGTTTTTGCCAGGGTTTTGTGTGCCGAAGCACGAAAGCACGGGCCCCAGTGGGAGATTTGAAACCTTCCAAAGCGAATGATGCGGCCGGCCTCTTTTTCATAAATTTCTTGTTGTTCCTGGCGTCTGCCAACCGACGAAGGTTCGTCGACAGACGGAACACACAGGAAGTTTTATGATTATGATGGTGATGATGATGATTGATGATGTGTCGATGATGTGTAAATACAGTGCTTTTCAGGGTTTGTGTGTCGAGGCAGGATGATGATGGATGATGGCCTGCATATTGATGATGTTCATCGGGATGGTGGCGAAGTGGACGTCATTACACCCCCCACCCCACCCCACCCCCCAAACCAGGGAAGCCTTTAAAAAAAACACAAAAACCTTCCAAACCCCCATGGTCATTAAGGCGCGCGTTAGCTATAACAAGGACTCATGCTTCCTTGTTGCTGCGTCATCCCACGTGAGCAGAGCCATGTCGAACAAGAGAAGTGGCATAGAAGTTTCAAGGGAAGCTGTCAACCAACACACAACCACGACGGCAGCTGCCAGTTGAGCAGACCTGCTATGGATCCTACCAGACCTGTACATGTCCAGCGTGCTAAGGATTGACCTGGCCGCGAATTGGGATTTCTCCTTCCCGAACGTGCCCGGGGCTATTTCAGAAGCCATGGCAGTACTGCTCCCAAAGCGCAAACCCGCCCGAAGGCCAAGTTCCAAGCCGCTGCACAAGCCTCCTGTGCTTCTTGAATTCACAGGATCGCTCCACTTTGCACTTTTTGCTGGGAGTTTTTCCGGTTCAGGTGCCCCGATTGAATATCTTCCAGTACATCTTGGGAGGCGTGGAGGGGTCTCATCTCAAAGGGTGTCTGCAGAGTCCTTCGAGTCCTTCGGCAGGCATTTGCGTGGGCATCGGCACTCGAGCTGGCAAGGCCTCGCCTCACAGCGCCTCACGACGCGTCTGCCCCTTTGATGTCGTCTTTTGTCACCGAACCATAGAAGCACAAGATGCGCTCGAAATGCATCCTGCTCACAGGGCTGCACTTCGGGACACGGCATTTGTGGCCTGCCCCGGCTGTCGCTGCGGAGCTGGCAGCCCGGCGTGAATGTGGTTCGGAGGCTTAGGCAGTCGGCAGTCGATGAGACTTCAGGGCGCGGGAGACATTTCGACTGCCGGTGCTTTCCCTCTGGAGTTTACGGCTGGAGTTACTGGCGACTCAAAGTGACTACTTCCGATGAAGCGCACTGGCTGCTGCTTAACATTGGCCCGGCTCAAGCAAGGTGTCAATGATGCTGAACTGAACAAAGGGCCGTTGTAATCAAAAGGGCTGAAGTGAAAGTTGTTCACCCGAACCAACGCTCAAGAACGTCCGACACTCCTTGAAGCAAGCCAACCACTGTTACGTGCACAGCAACCAAACCCACAGGCACAAAGTTCTGTTGAAAGGCCTCCTGCAGGCCATGATGAGTTGAGAGCAGCATGACAGTGGTCAGGGTGCCCTCATTTTTGTTCGCAAAGCGTGTGCCTGCACTGACCGGCACGTCGGCAAGTCGGAAACACGTCCTGCGCATGTCTCTCTCGAGATGCTTCGTTCGCGGTGTCGCGAGAGGGTCCTCAGTGCTCGTGTCCACGTGATTGGGGTAATTTTGTGTGGAGTGAGTCCTTCCCCAAAATTCAGGATTGCGGTGCCTACATTTATGGCAGTAGCAGCGATCACAGTCCTGGCGCCTTGGTTCCACACAGCCTTACTTCTGAAGTTGTGGGAGATTGATTGGCCTGGGGCTCTAAGCATGGTCTTGAGTCACCAAGATTAGCGTTGTTGCAATGCTGCTTCTGAAGGTGGCGGTCACTAACCGTCTCATCTCCAGCAACTTGAAAATAACATCGTAAGTTCCCGAACACGAGTCTGTTGCAGTGTGCAAGGTCACCCGCCACGCGATCAGACCATACAATGTGGAGCCGCTTGGCGGAGCAGTTGTCATTAGCAGGAGGGCGCCGGGGCCTCTCTCTTCTGGGTGGGTTTTTAGTCCACGTTCCTTTTTCCCTTCTTGAGGCGTTGAGGTTCAGGGGTCGTGGATCCGCCCTGCGGTCGCCACACTGAACTAAAGGCGGTTCGAAACAGCAGTTCACAAGGCTTCGTAATGGCCGGTGCTTTGTTCAGCGGCTGTCGTTGGGCACAAGCCCGAAACATTGAGGTACAACTCGCAGATCGCGCCGACGCAATGGCCACCGGAGTAGCTTGGACCGGTTACAATGGAGGCAATGAAGGGCAGCTTCATGTACAGCCTCCTTGCGACATCCAGCTTACGTTCAATCCAGCAGCAAGTCGGTTTGCAGTTCTAGGTGCCCCAGGAGGGATTCTTTTTGTCCCATACCTTGTTTTTGACCTCAGTGAGAAGCTGAGGTGGGAATTTCCGATTTTCGCCCTGCTCTCCTCCCTTGCCCTTGTGGCACTGAGCGTCCTCCTGCCCACAAAGCCACGGAAGTTACCTGGCAGAGCGCGTGGAGCCCATCACTCCGAAAGTCGGACAGTCCGACCCCAACCTGCAGTCTCTTGGGGCCCACCAGCCTGTCTCCTTAAAGAAGTAAGGGGGGGGCTTTGCCTACTCCGGGGGTTCCCAAGTACCCAAGAGAATGTCAGGTTCGTCTCGCCTTTGTGCTCGGGCATCATCTTCGCCTTGGGCCTCGGCGCCAGCGGCATGACTTCCCAAGCCAAGGCGCGGGAGCAACAAACCACGAAGGTTCAGTCTGTCCACTTTGAGCAAGTGCTCTTGTGAAGCAGCAGGTGCTGAACTTCTTGGACTTCGCAGGATATTGGGATCCTTCCCTGGCCTTCGTCATGGGCTGCGGCATCTGTGCCACTTGCCGGCTGGGATGGCAAACCACCTTGCAACTTAGATGACGCACGTTGCGCAAGGATCCTTCATAGAGGGCAGGCAGTCGCTTCCACGACTGCCAGCTCAGCGCCGATGTTCTTGGTGCCTTGAGTTTACATCTGGCGAGTTGACCCTCGCTCAATTTGATGATCTACTCTTGCAGGCCTTGTTGCCAGTCTCTGTTTAGGGCATTTGTCGTTGGCTGTAACGGCTACGGCTTCAAAGGGTTGCAGTCTCTTACCTATGTCTTTATCAGCCATCGACACCCTAATGTCGCAGATATCACTCGACTTGAAACATGCCCGCTGTCTTGGCAAAAAGTCTGTCACGAATCTCGGCATAAGCCTTTCGAAGACCATCTCAGGTTAGCTTCCCTGCATATCTCATCGCGGCTCCTGAGCTTACAGCAACGAGAGACAGAAGAGCGTTTAGGTCGGAGTTGACGTGCTTTAGAATCGTACTTGAGGTCTGCCTTCTAGGAAATCAGGGGATCAACAAAGCACATAAGCATGAGCCTGTTGAAGTGATATCCTGGCTTTTATAGGGCTTCATTCAGTGCAAGGGTGTCGCTTCCGTGCTGTTTTAGGCCCCAATAAAGGCCATGGATGACCAAGCACACAGCTAGTCGCAGCCAGAACCGCGTGAATCTACGTCGTATTCTTCAGAGTCCCTGGGTACTTTGCTTTCCGGACCCGAGAACACGCATATCAGCATTTTCCGAGGAACGAGGGGGCAAGCAGCCCTTCTCTGAGGCGCCCGGCGCATGGTTGTGCATGTTCGTCCCCTTTGAAAAGTTTGCTTTGGTGATTTGTGGAGGACGAGAAAGTCAGCACGACAAGGGAACAAGTAAGGAACGACAGGAAGACCAAGACTCGAACACGCAGACACGAGAGAAGGAAAACACAAACAACGACAGCAAAGATACAACAGATAAGACAAGACACCAATGCTGTTTGGTCCGGGTAGTTGGCTGGACTCAAAATTTGCAGAGTTAGGTGGCTGCCGTATTCTGTGCCATGTTATATCACAATATTGACCTCATCGTTTCTCCTCTTGAACTACATCTTGTCTGATCTGTCGTCCTATGTACTGTAAGTGTGCAACTGCACTCCAAGCTAGAGTGTATTTTGCAGTACCTCGCACCCTTCATGGCTGTATCTGCCAACTGTCATGGCGCACACGGTCTTTCGCACCAAGCGCTCGCCTCATTCTGAGGTTGTTGTCAAATAAGTAAAACTGTTAAGCTATGTTGGAGAAAGGACCATCACGCACACTTGTCATCTCTGCCACTGATCCACTGTATCACTATGTGAGGCTCTACGTTATATTCCAAGAGTCACATAGACTACAGGCTGTACCATGTACCCTAGATGGCTTGTTTCTGTCAGTTGCATTGCACCAGATACCGTGCTTCCAACACGCCCTTATACATATCGTTTGCATTGCAGTCAGCATCGTATGGAAATTATGCAGCGCGTCAGAGTCGATAGCAGCATCAACCGTGCTTGTGTGGCCCATGTTCTGGTGCTTGCAATTATGGCACCGTCCAGTTTCCAGCAGATCATTATACGCTTTCTTGTAACAGGATAACGTATTCTCATGCAATGCTGGGACACAGATCTTACCATAAGAAGAACTCAGTTACACCGACACACTTCTATGTTGAAACGATTCAGATGACGTTCCTGTCATGATGATCTGCAAACACCCCAAGAGGCAGTGCTTTCAAACCAGTCTTGCTACCGGTCTAGCTTTCGTCGCTCCGTTCTCGAGTCCAGAGTTGAGAAGAAGAGTTCGGGTGTTTGGCCGTGGGCTTACTACCAGACAGTAAGCGGTAAGTGCACAACGGACCACTTTGTCTGCCAGGGATGCACTTTTGAGAACCCGCCGAAGAAAGGGAATTACGTGCCGTTGCTGATTGGAGACTTGGCAAGCCTAGTGGACTTGAGCTACAGGTCGCCAGTTGCAGTTACAAGGTTTTATGCTTTGAGCCTTCGTTCTGTTTAGGTGAAGTCCCGGCAGGCGGTGTCTATATAAGTATTCATCGTGACCAGCGACGGACCGAATGTCGATTTGTTGCGCCAGGATGTGAAAATGCACCATATACCGGTTGTTGGTACCGAGGTACCTCGCTATTTGGGCTTGGTGCCGGCCCCAGTGGATAGCCGTGAGCTCTGCCGCAACTGCACCGGGAATGGGTGCATGGTGACAGCCTCTACGACGAGCTCCCAGAACACGAAACGGCCAACTTGACTGCCACCAGACGAGCGAAAAAACTGCGCTCAGTTGAGGCTGGGGTCTGGTGGGCGTTTGTCCTGGACCAGCCTTGGCCGGAGCCGCCCCGCAACATGGCGAGGGCTTTGGGATGGTTGGGCTGTCGGCCGATTCGGGCGGAGCTTGTTGAATCGCCGGTTAGTGCATAGGAGGCTTTCCTCCCTTCAAGGTATATCGCGGTGTGCATACGCTCCGGTGACATCCAGGACGCACCGGAGAAGTGTTTATCGAGCCTTCTTTGATTCTTAAATCCAACCTGGCAGGAGCTGTACTTCACGGTTACCGCCATCATTGTGGTGATAGCTTGGCTTGTGACTGACAGGCTAATCGTGTCTCTTGGTCTGCATCGAGCAGGCTGTCTCGTACACACAGCCATGCAGCGAAAATGAAAGTATTGATGGCAAATGCTCGATCGCATCTAGAGCTCCAATTCTGGGATGTGCAGAACTTGGTGCTGCTGCGGTGTTTACCAGACGCGAAAATTGAAGCTGCATGTCCGAACAAAGGCTAAAGTAGAAGCACTACCCCTCTACCGTCAAGCAGCGAAAGCACACGTAACACAGTGAGTTGTGTTTCAATGCTGCTCACTGCTTCTACTACCATCGTTGCTAGTTTTGCCAATCTTGCTCAGGCATTTTGGTCAGACGCAGTCGCCGGTGACTGCGACGACGGAACCAAAAACGGGCCAGTGAATATGGCCGGCGAGGACGATCTAGTAGCGCACTGTTGGTCTCGAAGTGTGTCGAAACATCCAGCAAACCACTCGTTTTGGTACACATGAGTAGGCAGCTCATGCTAGTGAGAGGGTGCCGTGGGAAAGGGGCAATCATGATATGAAGTGACAAGGTGGGCAAGCAAGTTTTCCTGTGCGGTTTCTGCGAGGTGAAAGGCGAAGCAACAACTGGACTTGAGTTTGAAGTGACCGGATCATGTTCAAATTCGGCACGGTACAGGCAAGTCCAGGGCGCACTTTGAGAATGATTCTTGCAGGATGCGATGCGTCCTTGGGCTTGGACTGGCTCGCAGCCACAGCAACTTCTTCTGGACTTGGCCCTGTGAGCTTGATTTGATTGAGCCTGAGTGTAGTCCGAAAGCCTTGTGGCCCTAAAGTACACAGGCTCAGCCGGTGTCCGACCGGACGCTGGCGAAACTAAGAAGTGTCGCTCCCGCCTTTGTGCTGGCAGCGGCAGCACACACCGATCCTCTTCATCCAACCTCTTTGTTTCCTAGCCAGCTACAACAGGTGAACATTCTCGGCTCCAGTGTGTGCTCGTTTGAAGAGGTGTTTCACATCATTGGCCAAGCCATGCAAAAGCTTCGGCTCCCGACACGTTCGGCGAAGCGATGCGAAGCTTCTCACATTTGTCAAAGCAGTCGGGAGACCACGGCTCACGGCCCGGACGACGGAGAGAAAGGGCAGGTGACTGAACACGGCTGGGCTTCTGTTGAGCATGAGTGCTTCAAAGGCCAGTTGTTGCTTGTGGTCGTGTGTCCTTGGCTCAAAAGGCACATCGAGCTTGGAAGGACATGTCCAGCATCTCGATTCAGACAGCGGCGACTCACATTGACTCAGGTATCCCTACTGGCAGACATGCAAAGGCAACTTGCAAGAGAATCGTTGAATACTGACTGTGATTGAGGAGGACCTGCAAGTTCTGACACGAAGCAGATGTTTTAAATTCAACCGGCGCCTGTGTGCCACAGAAAGCACCTCTCATGTCTCAGTTTCACTGCAACCAAATGGCAGCTGCACCGGAGAAAAAGCTACATCCAGGATGGATGATCGACACCCTCGCACATGCACGCCCTGGCTTCGCTCTTTTCCCAGAGCTTGTGTTCGGAAGCACAGCGACAAACCAAACACCACATAAAACACCGACGGGATAAGTGACCCAGCACAGAAGTCACACGTGACCCAGCTTTTGCGAGCAAGTTAGGCAATAACGACACGCACGGAACGTGGCAAGACCATGTTGAGTGCCAGTGTCGGAACAGAGGCAGAAGGTCGTTTCGTGGAGCTGGGCGTCAGCATGCGCTCGGGCACTTGCCAAGTGTGCTTGGCCTCGCCAGGCACACTTGCAGCGTTTTGTGACGCGTTTCGTGCGAAGAAACTGGCTGCGCTGCCTCGTTTGCCTTTGGCCCGTCGGGTTCGTGGGATATGCCACGCTTAGAGACATGCAGTTGGCGGTGGAGACAGCCATGCCAACCCCACATCCTTATGTCGGTCGTTGATTCGGTGCCACTGCCAAATGTTTGCTTCCACTGTGTTGACCATGATTGGCAATGCAGGTACCAAAGCTCCTATGCCTGGTAGAATACTTGTATTCGCAGCCACCCTTGAAGTCTAGAGCTCTCAGCCAGACCCCCAAAAAAGCCGCGCCCGGCTGTGGACTTTGGGCCGAGCGGTGTGCAACGCCGCAAACGGAGCCCTGTGCTGCAAGCGCAGGGACTGCCTCCAACTTTGCACGAGTTCCTCGCGGACGCTGGCAGCACCTTTGCGGAGTCGCGTCCCGACGAGCGTATGCAGTATGGTAGGTCGAGAGGAAGGTGGGTATGGGGGCCGTCTGCGCCTGAACAGGATCAGACAAAACAAGCATTACCGACGTTCTGCCCAAGTGGATGCCTGCCCGGCCCGCACATTTTGCAACGACTTTCCCCGCGAACTACTCATACGCTTCGGCTTCATCCGCGCGACAGCAAGGTTTTGGGTTGAGACCCGCTAGACGGGGGTTCAAGTTCCGCCAAGAGCTCTTTCACTGGCCGGTTCGTGTCGCAAGGCCGCAGCGGCAGCTCCAGCAAGCTCTACTCGCAATGCAGCGAGCGCCGTGATGGCAGACCTTCTGGGCGCCAGTGGGAGTGCGAGCCGGAGTCTCCTGAGCGTGAGGATTCGGAACTCGCTGAGTACATCGAGTTCCGGCATTTAGGAAAGACGGTGGTCACCACTGACACAGTTTCAAGCGCTGGATGCTTTACGCTGTGATTGGATGGGTCCGACTTGCAAGCGAAGGAAGGGTGTCACGGATGAAACGTCTCCACCTGTCGATTCTTGGTCTTGCTAGCTGGCCAGACGCCAACATCGTTTCGCTTACAAACTGATGCAGATTCCAACTTGGGCCACGGCCCGCTGCTTAAGTTGTGTCCAGATCGTATTTGGCAGACGATGCTATGTTGCTTCACACTTATATCGTCGACCCGGTCAGTCGTCCGCTACACTAGCAAAGTAGAATGATCGACTCCGCAGTTTGTCCACCGTGGATGCAGGGACCGAGATTGATGGACATGCTAGTTGCCTTTTTTGAGCCAATCGGGACGTACAAAGTTTTGCGAATGTATAATTTGCAGACCCTATGATGCTTAACATAAGTTTTTGAGATCTGGGTCCAAACCTGGGGCAACCCCTGGTGTCAAATTCTGGGTTTTTTTGGGCGAACCCGCTGTCAACGATTTGGTCCCAGGTTCAAGCTAGCAAAATCACTGAAAATCCACCTGAAAACCGAAACACTACTCCCGAAGCAAGTCCCCAGCGCTTCAAGCCCCCACCATCAGAAACAAGCATCCGCCCCGCCCCGCCCCGCCCCGCCCCGCCCCGCCCCGCCCCGCCCCGCCCCGCCCCGCCCGCCCCGCCCCGCCCCGCCCCGGTCCCGCCCCGCCCCGCCCCGCACGCCCCGCCCCGCCCCGCCCCGCCCCGCCCCGCCCCGCCCCGCCCCGCCGCCCCCGCTTTACCACCACCCCGCGCCCTGCCGCCGCGCCCACTTCCCGACCATACTGACCGGGCGGGTGCATGGGTGGGGTGGGCGGGGCGGGGGAGGGGTGGGGCGGGGTGGGGCCAGCAGGGAGAGGATGAGGAAAGATCCATCAAACCGTATGGTCTGCGGGATCTGTATCCGCTTGACTGTTTGCGGAATGAAGATAGGTCGGGTGCATGCCGGAACTCCAGGTGGACCCTTGGCTCGCCACCCAAACAAACAAATCCGGAGAGCTTTTTGCCTGCACCATCGCCGTGCACCCAACCAGTCCCATGACTAGGATAGTGTTAAGCATAACAAGCCCCCCCAATAAACGTATCCGGGACGAAAACGCTTGATTCCCGCACCAGCTCCCAGCCATCAGACGTGCACCGGAAAGGAGGGCAATGTTAAGCATAATAGGAACCCTCCAATGTATAATACGCAAAGCAATTGCCCCCAGTTCCCCATGTCCTTAGAGGACCGTGGTCCGTTATGGCTGCTGTAAAGTCTGACGCTGATTCTGTTTCAGTGTGAAAGCGACAAGCGAAACAGTGAAAACGATGAGCGCGCAGCTGGCACGTTCGCCCCGCTGGGACGGCATCCGCGCTCGTGCTTTTGCTCGGCCTGCCGCGCTGGGCGGATGTGGGCGGTGTGTCAGGAAGGCGTGCACAACACCAGCAGTAACCGTGTGCGGTGCGAGTCTTGGAATCCGCGCAAATGTGCGAGCAGCTCGTTATTTTTATCCCTCGCTTCGTCGCGTTTGTGACGACACAAGCTCCCGACTGCTCAGCGGACTGCCCAGCGGACTTCGTGGCACCCCAGCACCGTGAGGCTCTGATCCCGCGCGCCATTGGAGATACGCCACCCAAGAGCCGGCTGGTTCCTTTCTGCCGAGGTGTACCTGCACGTGGGCGAAACAGAACATAAAGCCTGCGTTGCATGCATAGAAACACGTCCGGGAAACGTGGTCGTAAGCCGCCACGCCCTTTAACCTCAGCATTGCACCGGCCGCTCACAGCGTGCAGACGACGGCTTCCGAGTGTGCGCGCGCTCGGCACGTGCTTGAACGGCGTGCATGCTTACCGAAACCTCTCCCAGAACTGCAATGCCAACGCAACATCGGAACAACCAGGCGGCAAGACGTCACCCAAGACCAGCGCTCGCGCCTTTCTTGTTGGCTTCGTGAATGCAACCATGCCGCCCAACCGCAGCGCGTTTGCGACGGCGTGTGGCCCACCAGCCTGTCCACAGCATGCCCCAGGAAATGTTGCTAGCACTCTGAGGTGCTCATTGGTGCACCCAAACACCCCTGCTGCGGCTCAACGTTTTGCCTTGCACAAGTTGGTGACATCGTCGAACATACGTGTTGCCATGTTGAGGTTCGCCCGCAATCTGACGGAACAGCAATTACCAGTTCGCCGTGACATCATCGGCTCATATGTTTGCTCGTATCAGACCCCTCGCATCAATCGATGCCATTGGGATTCATAGCGTAAATTGTCGTAGCAGAGCTTGGTGAAGCGCGCAGCGGTCCGCAAAGCTGCAGGGACGTCAGTGCTCTGCGAGAGTCGGAGCCAGTTTGCAGCCTGAGCTCCAAAGCGGCCGCCGACTTCACCAACGACCACCAAGCGGCAGCGGCGGGCTCAAGTTTGGCGGCGCTTGCATCGGGCAGCGCCGTCGACAGCCCGGCCGGGATGCTTCCGGGCGGAGGTAGCCAGCCCGAGTGGGCCATGCTACGATCACCACGACCCCGATGCCCTCGTTGACAGAGGCCAAGACGTCGATGTTCATTTTATGTCGGCAAGGAGACTACTGTGGGCGATCCGCGCACCAGCTTCATGGCACACCCGCGCAACGGCCCGCTCGAGGGGCAAAACCCGAATTGCTAGCACGCCAGAAATAGCGAGCGGGTCAAGGTGGTCACGGCAGGCACATGTGCGCCCGGCGCAACAGGCAACGGCAGGTGAAGCCGGCGCAGCAGCACGACCCGGAAAAGCGGCGAAGGCACCACCACTTCTGCAGAGGTGGGGAAGATTGTGAAGGCTTGCGCAGCTTGCGGTCCAGCTTGCGATAGGAGGAGCGCGCGAGATGCGGCATCAACGTGAAACGGATGCAAATTGAGTGCGTGCTTGCTTGTCGCTGGCGAGAGTCGCCCCTTGTTGCCAGCCCCGCGAGAAGAATCCAAACTCTCGCTCGTCAGGCCTATAAGCTGCGGGCGCTGCAGGGAGTTCCAGTCATGCCAACTATCCGTCCCTGGATGCCAGAAGCAGCCGCTTGACTGGTCGTGTGTGTCCGCAGCTGCTACGCTTGCGGTAGCACGCCGCACTGCGGCCTGCTTTCGTGAGCGAGGATGGGAGGCTCTTATCCAAATCAGGCAATCTGCCCATGTAGCCTGGAGCGCTTCGACAGCGGACCGTAAGCCAAGGCCTCCAACTGGAGTGGGAGACGCCAGGTGTGTCCGCAAATGTCCGCAATACTACTCGCCAGGCTGGGGGCCTTGCTCCCACTGCGCGCAAGCAAGCAAGCAAGCAAGCAAGCAAGAAAGCCAGTTGGCATGGACCGGGTGGCCGAGGTGACGGTGCTTGTGGGAAGTGTTCGGGGTGCAAACATGCTTGTCGGCAGCGATTGTTGTCTAATACTTCGCATCCCGCCGCAAACCAACGAGTCCCTCGACACACGGCTCATCCGTACGCTGGCGGGTCGGGAGGCATCCCACCCCGGACCCGCCAACTACAGACGAGGGCAGATGCCCAGCCCCACCGGAGCAGAGGTTTGGAGACACTACACGGCCTCCAGTTGGCTAAGGCGCCGCAACCTGCGTCGGACGCCGAAACGCTGTCAGACACACTCAGCGCCGCCACAACATGCGCGTCGCCGCCTTCCGAACGAGACGCCCTAGGCGCGGCGCAGCGTCGACGAGCGGTTTTCACGCATTGGCGCAAATCGCAAATGCAGCTTGCGCCAGCTTCAGCCGTCGAGACGTCAGCCGCGCACGCTTCAAAATACAGTCCAGGTTGCCTCACCGGCCGCGAGCCCGACCCGGCGAGGCGCACTCAGTGCTAGTTGAGGGAGCAACTCCGGGGTTTCCGCCGCCATCCTCGCCAACAGCCTGCCCTAAAAAACTCCAATGGCATGATGCCCATCCATGCCCATCCACCGAGCCCCTCGCCGGGCTGTTTGTGCCGTTGTTGCACGCCGCGACTAAGAACCTGAGCGAGGCAGCGTGTTCTTTGCCCCACGAATCGAGGGACTCGGTTCGTTAAGTGTTCGTTAACTAGCAGAGACGCTGCGCCAAGCACCGCCGGTGGAGCCGGCCAGCCTCTTGCGGCTCCTGCATAACATGCTGGCTTGCGAAGCACACGAGAATGGCGCGGCACAACCGCGCATTCCGCAAGCAGACGCGGCTTGCGCTACGTCGCTGCAGGCGCTGCCAGACGCCCCAATCCCTTTAGCATTTTTTTTTGCGGCGGAAGCCTACGCAGGCACGGCGGGGGCTGCAGCTTCCCTGACGTTCGCGGATGACCTCCGCGCATCCCCGCGGGCTCCCGGCCCTCACCGGCACACACACGCAAGTTCCGGTGTGCCCAGCCCAAACGATGGCGTCTCCCTGCCAGTGGGAACAGTTGCGACACCCCACACCGACGCTGCAGGATGCGCCGCCCGGAGCGGTGCGGAGCGGTTTCACGCAAGCGCTCAGCGAGCTTCGCGCGGCCGCCGCCAGGCCCTACCACCAGCCAAATCAATGCAGCTCGAGCGGCCCGGGCCTGGAAGTTGCTCTTGCTCGTGCCGAATATGGTGCTGATGCGCGCGCGTGCGGCGCAACAAGGCTTGGAAGGTCGAGCCGAACTGCTCAGCTGCGCTGCGGCATTCCGACGTGGCAAGTGTAAACCCACCTCATCCGCAGTGACGGCCGTCTCGGCAGCGATTTTCGGCTCACATGCAAGAGGTGCCGCCCGGTGAGGTTCCTGAGCGCAAACGGCACCAAGCGTGCCCACCAACTGCTGCGTGGCGGGCGCTCACCGATCCGAAGCGACGACCTCCGCAACCCCGCTTGCCAATACCGGCCGATCTTCAAGCATACGAACCCGCGCGCCAGGTCCAGCTTGCAGCAGGATCGGTGGCCACAACGCTACGCGAGGCAAAGCGCGGGGGAGCCGCGGGCTGGTCGGGCATGCGGGCAGAGCACTTGAAATTGTTGTTCCTGAATGCTGATGCATGCTGAAGCCATGGAGTTGCTTGCGTATGCCGCCACCCTGCCCCCACGCGCTCACGTCCCGCCAGAGATCATGACCGCGCTAGCTATGGCCCGCTTAACGGCTTTGCGCAAGCCTGACGGCGGAGTGCGGGGCATCGCCACAGGCGACGCGGTGCTTCGTTTCCCGCATGCTCGCCAAGCAATGGGGCAACGGTGTTTGACGAAGCAACCCACCCCTACCAGTTTGCATTACACAAGCACGGGCGGGCACGGATGCACTCGCAACTCACGTGCGGGTCGCACTCGCCCAGCGCAGTGACGCGGTGTGGTCCCGTTGGACGGTCGCAGCACCTAGAGTCGCGGGCAGCTTTCCATTCAAAGCCGCGCGAAGTGGCCCGGAGCTCCCCCCTGCACCCGCATGTTCTACGGCCGCCCCTCCGCGTACAGCTGGTGGAACAACGCCGCGAACCACAGAGAAGTCAGGCAAGGTGCACACAGCGGACACATTGATGGTTTTTGTACATCGTCGGCCCGCCGCCACCCAGCATCGTAGAGCTGCGTGACGATGTTTGGCGCGGCGACACGCCATCGGCCCAGCGCGTCACGGCTTGCTATAACACCAGGCAATCCAGACAGGACATCAGCGTGGAGGCTTCCGCCATATTTTGACAAATGGCCCACAGGTGTTTCGGTGATGATGCATTGTCGGTTTGCATAGTAAGCGACAGATTGAATAGAATTGAAGCATTGTTGGCGAGTGACGCAAAGCATTCCATTGGAAGGAGTGACAGAAAAATTGTAGGCAGACAACATCGCCGCATGAAAGATGTTAGCAAACTTGTGCAAGCCCAGGCAAGCCTTACGCCGAGGAATTACGCAGCTTCCAAGCATGCTTCAGCTGGTGACCTTCCCTGCGCGCTGTGGCGATGCCTCGGAACGGGCGCAGCTGGGCGTTCGCAGGCTTGGTCCCCAGAGATTTGCAAGGTGCACCAACCGTGCAAACATGGCATGCGAAGTTGTGGGTTTCAGAGTTTTTCCCGAAAAAACAATGATTTCCCGGACAGCGTAAGCTTGGGGGCCAGATTGGGGCAAGGGCTCCAGCAGGTTCCGAAGCGGCTCTGGGGCGGGTTGCGGCAGATTTAAGTACACAAGCAGGCGTTGGTTTCCATAAGCGGAGAACCCCAACGAAATTCGAAAAGGCAAAGAGTCGAAAAAAATTGATTCTTTTTTGGGTTTCATGCACCTTTCGGACGTTTTGTGCTTTTCGACTTTGCGGGTTGTTTTGCAATGTTATGTTTTTTGGTGTTTTTGTGCTTTGAGTTTTTTTTGCTCTTTTCAAATTTGACATAACACGTATTTTATTTGGTATGGAATTGTTATTTGCGTATTTAGCATATGTATAGTCAAACTAAGTAAGTTCATACATCAATATACTTCTCGCACTTCTCGGACTTGACGTGCTTTTGGACTTCTGGGGATCCGCTGTTAGTTTCGGGCTTTTGGACCTTCCATTTATATTTTCTTGCATTTTCGAGTTTTGGCTTGTACAAGTTTTGGATGAGGCCCTGGTAGACTCGTCGATAGTCACACGATCAATCCTAGAGTCAGTCATACTGTCAGGCGTCGTGGTTGTAGCTCGTTCGGGCCTGCCCGGACCCACCCCGGGTTTGAGGGTTTGGGGTTTCACGGTTTAGGGTTGGATGATTCGGGGTTTAAGTTTTATGGGGCACGCTCTATATTCTATATTCATCCCTGCAGGAGCTCTGCCATGATTCAGGCCTTTGACAGCTGCCAGCCGTAAGCCCTAAACCCCACACCCCTCAGCCGTAAACCCTAGCCTAAACTCCAGGCCCAAAGAACACATCAACGCCTGCATCGACATCTACAAACACTTCAGAGACAACCAAAGTTAAACCCGAGAAGAACCAACAAACAATCTAATTAACCAATGTTCGATCCTCGGCAAAACCATTAATTTGAGGAGCTTTGCGGTGGTTCCGGGTCGGTTCCGGTACAGGTTCGGCAGGTTTCGGTGCGGGGTATTGAGATTTTTTGTCTACCCCCTAACTTTGTTGTTCCGTTTTCTCTTTTGTGTTGCGCCTGAATTCGTTCACATTGTAAAAGATGACACGAAGTGTAAGCCCGAATGGAACGAATTCAACGCGAACACAACACCTTGGAATTACATTGCATCGAAAGCAATGGGATTTTTTGTAAGAGCCTTCGAAGATTCTAAGAGAAATACTTATTTTAAGGATATTCATGATGTTCTACCACTAGTTCTTGGTAGTGGAATATGATAGATTATACACAATGAAGAGAGCATTTTTCTTTTGTTACCTTCTACAAACGAAATTGGCGCGTGAAAATGGTGAACAGATGAAAGAGCAAGTGAACGACATTGAACCCAGGGAAAGGACCAATTTTAGTGTGCCATTCTAATGGCATTGAAGCCAACAGCTATTGTTTCGTTCGCAAGTGGGCGAATTAATGAGTGAAAAGCATGAGTCAGTCACGAATGGAAGAGAGGAGTGCGAGGAACGAATGGAATGAAAACGAACAAAAAATATTGGGTCTTGGTTCGTGGTTCGTGCGGTTGTCGGGTGTATTTTTATACCAATAAGCACAACTTTGTTTCACTACGTTGTGTTGTTCAAATTAAAATGACAACACGCTTCCCGTTTCACTTAATCTGCTTACGTGTCCTTGTGTGCTGTCTTTGTTCTTTCGCTCCCATTACAATAGAATGAGGTGACAGCGTGAGCGTGCGAAAGACAAAGAAGAGTACAAAAGAGGGCACAGTTACTTTCGTTCCTTGTTCGTTGTGATTTGTGCTTAGTGCTTATTCCGTGCACTTCGCTTATTTCACACGTTCACTAAGTGATAATGTAAGTCAGCGAAAGACAAAGCACGAAATATGACGCAAAGGGAACGAAACCGGAACGAAGGGTCAACCTCATGAAGTAACCGCAACTGAAGGTCAACAGCCTAAAGCCCTTGTCTCTGGGAATTAATCCGTTGAAAAAGACCTAATTTAAAGTCAAAGAGGTAAAGTGTAGTGAACACATGATCATAGCGCACGCGCTTCACATTTGAAGTAACTCGTTGTCCCCTTGTTTCATGGTACTGTTTCTGTTAATTTGGTTTTTTCTTGTTTCAATTCGTTCCATTGAAAATGACCAAATCGACCAAGGAAGCCAGGAGGTAGACGATTAAGCTCGGAAGCAATTGTTAAATCCTATAGTTAATCTTAGTTGTGGAATATTGCCTAATCTTATGGTTTTCAATCTTATGTTTGGAATCCATTACATCGTTCTACAATTACATCTTAATGGATTTTTTTGCCTTGGAAATGCTGTAGTTCAATCTAATAAAGAGAAAGCAAATGAGTGAAACGCGTGCGTGTTCTCTTCTTGTCTTATCAGGTTAAAACGCAAGCAGACATTACATTATGAATTGATTCAGTTTTGTTTTCGTGAATGTTTTGGTGCGTTCGTGTGTTCTTTTAAAGAGAGAAGAAATGAACGAAGTAGAAACATTTTTTAATAGGACCACCACCGAACGAACCAACGAGAAATGAACGGCCTGGTGATGCTGACGGAACGTAAAGGGTAAACGGTGCGACACAGGACCCAAATTCCTGGAACTGACCTGGAAATGAGGTGTAAGGTATTGTGAGGAAAGGGTGGAAGGAAAGAACTACTTCGTTTCATTCTTCTTTTGCTTTGTTTAAAGCAAGTGAGGCGCGTGATTACTTGAAGCAAAAATATGAAGCGAAATTACTGCTGTTTCCATGGGTGTCGAGCGTAACATCGCGCTTGAAATTCCATTGCATTTCTTTGTTGAGTTTAAATTCAGTTCACCCATTACATCCACTCCTAACCTTACCACTGCATTCTAGGTGTAATTGCAGAAGAGACAAATGGAAAGGAGTGGATGAGTTCTCGTTTACGCGGTTCATTGTTTCATGCGATTATAATGAAGGAACGGATGCATGAACCGCATGAATGAACAGTTAAACGAGAAATAACAGAAAATCAAGCAACAAAACTGGTCTATTTTGGTGGTTTGTTTGTTCATATTGTTGCTCGATTTTACATGTATAAAACCACGCATTCAGTTCCATCGCTGTGTTAGATTCATTTACAAATACAAAAATTATTCGCTTCCCCCGGGCCTAGCACTCTCTTTGGGGCGGGGGTTTCTTGTGGAAAGGTGTGGACCCCGGGCGGCGGCACTAAGGGCTCTTGCCCGATGAGCACCCCCTTTCCCCCCCTCCCCTGTGCTAGGGCGACACTGCCCTCTAGTATTCTGGCTCAACTGCTGTTGCAACTGATCCGGCGATGCCGACGTCTCCACCCATCATGGGCCTGAGGACATTCAGTGTATATGTGAGGTATTCCACGCTCATCATATGCATTAGCAACTCCCTGGATTGCTACCTTTGTTATCGGCCTTGTTCCAGGGCTGCGCCTCTGTGCTGTTCATTGCCGCGGTGGTGTGCATGTTCATTTACTGTACCTGATTGGTGGCGTGCTCGCCCTCGGTGCTGGAACAGTGTTCCCTCGGCACATGGCGCACGCCTTTGGGTCGCCTTGTGTGTGCCCTCTGTGCATGGAGCCTCGCTCCCTCGGCACTGGCCGCACGGTTCGCCCCCTTTGAACTCTTTGCGTCTGCTGCCGGTTACTTGGTGTGTTCTTTGGTGCATAAAAGCATAAGTATTATCGGTTGGTGACGTTTGGCTTGGCCTCCTGCCTGCTTTGTCCCTGATCAAGGGCTATGCCTCTCCGATTCTTGGGTTTGAAACATGTACCTTAGTATTCTACACCGTGACCTGTCTGCACTAGCTAGTTTTTCCCCCACTTGAACTCTGGGACGGAGCGAGGCGATGACGCTTGCGGAGCCCCCCTGAGATGTTGAGAGGGACGTGGGAGGTAGGCCGCACCGTAAGTGCTGGTCGACACTCACTCACTCACTCACTCACTCAAAATTATTCGCTTCATATTCTTATATTCGGTAAGCTTGAGGAAATTCAGAGAAAAGAATTAAAACCGTGGCGCGCATTTCGCTTCGGTTCTTTTGGTTCTTTGCGGTTTTTTTAAATAAGAAAAAAGTCCTTTATCCTTTCCACGCGCTCATTCAATTGAAGAAAAGTTCACGAAAGCATGAACCACGCTTATACTTCATTCACTCCTTTCATTCCGTTACAGTGTGTTCTTCCCCAAGCAACCGACCGACCAACCCCAAATGCATTTCCCGAAGCCTGCTAAACGCATTTAGCTTGCGTTTCAGCAGATCTGGAGCTCAATGCCGTCCCGCCCGAAACTTGAAAATCCTACTGCAGATGCCCTAATGCATTTCGCAAGGCTAGGAAAGCGCATTTAAAGGAGCTTCTTCAGCTTTGCTGGTGTTCCTGGCCCCATTCCCCGACCAACCCCCAATGCATCTCCCGATGCCTCCTAAACGCGTTTGGCCCTGGTTTCAGCAAATCTGGGGCCCACGGCCGTTCCTAAACCCGAAATTCGTGCTGCAAATGCTTCAATTCTGGGCCAAATGCATTTTTCCAGGCTTGGAAAGCGCATGTAGGAGCTTCTTCAGCTCTGCTGGCGTTCCTGGCCCCATTCCCTGAGGCGAAATCGAGTTCCCCAAGCCTCCGAACAACCCTAAATGCATTTCCCGAGGCCTCCTCCTAAACGCATTTGGCCATGGTTTCAACAAATCTGGTGTCCATGGCCGTTCCTCAACCCGAATTCGTGCTGCAAATTCTTCAATTCCGGGCCAAATGCATTTTTCCAGGCTTGGAAAGCGCATGTAGGAGCTTCTTCAGCTCTGCTGGCGTTCCTGGCCCCATTCCCTGAGGCGAAATCGAGTTCCCCAAGCCTCCGACCTTCGTTTCAACAAATCTGGGGTCCATTGCCGTTCCTAAACCCGAAATTCGTGCTGCAAATTCTTCAATTCCGGGCCAAATGCATTTTTCCAGGCTTGGAAAGCGCATGTAGGAGCTTCTTCAGCTCTGCTGGCGTTCCTGGCCCCATTCCCTGAGGCGAAATCGAGTTCCCCAAGCCTCCGAACAACCCTAAATGCATTTCCCGAGGCCTCCTCCTAAACGCATTTGGCCTTGGTTTCAACAAATCTGGGGTCCATTGCCGTTCCTAAACCCGAAATTCGTGCTGCAAATGCTTCAATTCCGGCCCAAATGCATCTTTCAAGGCTTGGAAAGCGCATCTAAAGGAGCTTCTTCAGCTTTGCTGGTGTTCCTGGCCCCATTCCCCGAAGCAAAATCGAGTTCCCCAAGCCTCCTGAACGCGCAGACACCCATAAAGCGCTCGAATCCGATTCTTTTGTTCAGTGTCCCCATCTACAGCTCTGTCAGCTTGTTTGGCCCCTTCATGTGAGCAGCCATTCCGCTGTTGGGGGTTATTCAATTAAAACTCAAGCAACAAACACAGGAGATGACCTGCACCGGATCGCACAGGTAATAGTAAAGATCAGCATATTCGAACACATCATTAACTGATCATTGTGCGAACGATTCATTGTAGCATGACTGCCAAGACAAGATCCTTGGCCAATCAAAATACGCAACGGCTACGCAAAAGCTAATGCTGGACCTGCGCTTTAGTTCGCAACGACATGGATAGGTTTTTTAGCGCCTTCCTGCCATTTCAGCATTGAGCTGGCAGTATTCCAACGGCAACCCCCTAAACCCTAAACCCCACCGATGCCCGAGGCCTTGGGGGTGCGGTGGGACTGGTGCAACTTGGCGGTAACCGAAGCCACGAGGAATTCCAAGGTTTAGGACTGTGGTGGGGTGGTGCAGTTTACACATTGAAGAGGGAACCCTTTTGGATATATTGTGGTCTGAACGAAATGCCCGAAGCCCAATGCCTGTAAGTTTCATCCAAACCACACACCTTAGTGTCACAGCGGGTGTGGGTTTTTCAAACACGCAGCGTTCTCCCGCTATGTCGAAAGGCTGGTCTCGCTGCTCCGCGGCGGCGGCTGGCTCGAAGATGGCGTGGTGCAGGCAGCACCTCATACATCGGTATTTTGCATTTGCATACATGTTGTAATGGTCAACGGCGTTATCGTCAATGCCAGAAGCGGTACCTTGCCGTGGCCAATCATAACACCCTCTCAACATGACCATCGCCATGATGTATGTGCACGGACACAGAGAGACGAGCACAAACAGGCATCCGCTGACATTGGGTAAGGAGTTTTAGTTGCTACAGCCTAGGTTCTTGAACACCGCCTGGATGATAATGATGTTGAGTCTGAGCCGGTGTTGAATGGTAAATCCAGTGGAATGGCTGACGATTGATAAACTCATTGGTATATGAACATACCATCGTATTGTTCAGGGTGTGGGATGGTGGCTCCCGGCAGCCCATGGCGAGAGGCTTTGACTTGGTCAGATAGGCTTGACCAAATAGCAGGCATGTCGGACCATGGCTTTATTAAGGTCGGACATGCTCACTGTAAAACCACGAACTACCCTAGAAGCCAGCGTATCCGACCCTACAAACAGGGTCGGTTATACTGGATCCAGAATGGCCCTAGGAACATCCAGCAACTTCGTGGGTGCTGATCAATCAGATACACAGCATGCGGGCAGACAAAGAGACGCGGAGAGGCATCCCTGGAAAAGCGTGGCGCACTTGCATTGTCCCTGAGACGAAGTAAGCGCATCATGCTTCTAATAAGATGAACACTCCCGAGTATTTGCTTTGCTCGCAAAATCCGAAACCCTGCGGGAGGTACCACAGATGAAGGGTGCTGCTGCGAAACCCTCAAGGCTAAGCCCTCTTGTTCCCACAATGCGGCACACCCAACACCTAACAAGACTCAGTATCCCGAAACCCTGCGAGGGTTCGCTGATAGCTTAAAAACCCATAAGCACCCAAGGGAAAGATGATGGGACTTGCTGCTAGGAGATGCTGTAAACCCCAATATCCCCAAAAGCCAGATTCTGAAAGGCTTGTCACGAGAAAATCGAAGCTTTTGCGGCAGTGACTGGTCGCCAGAAGCCCAAAGGCCCTCTCAGAAGATGCTGCGTGGTGTGGGAAGTCCGATACGAAAAACAGCTAAACTTTGAAAGGTGGAGCCTGAAAAGTCGTGATTGGTTGCAGAATTCCAAAACTACGTGAGGCTCACGGCCAGTGAAGCTCCTTACTCGAAAACAGCTGGATCCAAGGCGTCCGTCCTCTTCGCGCAACATTGGGCAATCGGATAAAGATTTCACACTAAGCATGAAAGGTGCGACCGAGTCCACACTTGCAGCAGGCGAGAACCCCACTCTCAAGCAGCACAAACTCATGACAGAATCCTTTCCGTCGGAACTGAACATCTAGCACGGCAACTTCACAGTCGCAACGCCAGCGTCAAAATTCTGGCAAAACACAGCAACAGATGCAAACGGTGCTTTGAATCGAAGCACGAAGCAACACCGACAGAAGCAGTACAAGCCGCATGCTGCTACTCGCGAAACTCTGCACCCAGTGAAACGTCTTCGAAAATGTGCATTCTGGATGTGCCGCTTGAGGTTGAGCGATTGCTGTTTAATCATTTTTCAAGAAAGGAAATTGAAGAAGCCAGCCCTGCATGCAGGATGAGGCAGGGCTTCCGGATTCGACCATTCGAGCCCTTGATGTCGAGAAGCCGGTGCCCGTGCAAAGGAGGCCTCTTGAGGGGTAGGTCGGTGGGTGGTACTACGGCGGCAATATGGGCTACCAGAGCAGTTTGTTAAGACCGCGTTGATCTTGAACAGCTATGATTGGGACTGGGAGTGCTATTTGGCCCAATTTAGATGGAGCGACGAAGGTGTTGTGCAAGCCCATAGGGACTAGCGTCTGCGTTGCTTCTCACTGCCGGAAATACTTGGATGTTCTCCACACCCAGGATGCAAAGCCCGGCTCGAAAACTTTTATGCCTACCCACCAAAGCCCGAGAGCGCGGAATTTCGCCACCAGGCATGCCCAGAACCAGGCGCCGGAGGTTGGGCGGGTTCGGCTGTGGGGTTCGAAGGCAACTTGAATTTCAAGTCTTGATGGAGTATTGAGGTTTTGGGCAACGCTGGTTCCTGGCTCTGGGGTTTTGATTCGTGCTGTGTCCCATGGCTTTCCTTCCAACCAACAGGCTAACCAAACGGGCGTACAACACAAGCCATTCTTTCGTATGAAGCCGAAAAACTTGTGAGCCATGAGATCCTCCGTTGGCAGGTGCTGCCGCAAGCTGGAGCTCCAGGACGCTGGCTGTCATTGGTGTTGTGCTTTTCTTCTGCGGCCTGATAAGATAGTTGAGAGAAAAAGGCAAGGTAAGAAGACTTCATCCTGAGATTCGGGGCTGTCGGGATTGGCCTCCAGGTGCCGACACTACCACTTCAACTGCCGCAAGGCTTGGTGACCCTACAGAGCTCACTTGCCTTCTGCCGATCTGCCAGCTGCACAAAGATACGGCTCCCCGTTTGTTTATCCTTGAACACACGGACGGAGCTGGGCACAGGCTAAAGTCTGTGCTGGAAGCAATCGCCATTTCATGGCGGAACAACATCAATTTTGGAGGCCTTGTTGGCCAGCTGTGGCCCCTTACAGACCAGCACATCAACATTCGTGTTGTGGTGGACGCGGTTTTTGGAGCAGGGGCTTCGCAGAAGCTCTATATCTACAACATCACAACCAAGCCGCGATTCCAATTCAAGTTCAATGATGTGCGAGCCCTCGAAGCCCAGGTGCAGCTGGCACGACCCTCCGCAGCCTTGTTTTGCCAAGCCGTGAACGAGTGGACCTGCCCTCAGTCCTCAGTTTCACCAGAATCTAAAGGAAGTTCAAATTATCGCTGCAATTTTGTCGTTTTCAGCTAAGGGGCTATGACCGCAGCGTGCCTGCCAGCGACTATTTTCCCGGCTGGCTGAGAGACCAGATGCGGAAGCACCTGGATTTGCAACCGCTCGTCTTTGCCAGTGGCAAGATCTCGGTTGTGATGCACCTGCGACGTGCAGATCTGGAAAGGAGCGACACGCGTGCTACCCCTGATGCTTACTACTATGGACTCGCAGAGGAGATCAAGAAGCTTCTGCCAGCCGAGAACCTGGATTTCCACGTGTGGAGCTCACCGAAGAACATACCTGCGTTCGACTATCACTTCTGGAAATCTGAGGACTTTGATGGGTATCGTCAGCGCGGTATGACGGTTCATTTGGACGAAAAGATTGACGACAACGACGACATGCTGAAAGCCTGGGTCCACATGTCCAGGGCGGACATCTTCATTATGTCTCAAAGCTCCTTCTCGATGGTTCCGGCATACATGAATACAAACTGCGTAATCTTCCCGTCCAACATCGACTCGCCTCTCGAGAACTGGGTCAACGGGAAGGATCAACAGCGGAGCAGCTACCGAACCGAGCTGGCCAAGTGCGTAGGGCATGCCAACAAGGACCGCAAGTCTGGTCTCACTGGAGCTGTGACGGGGACGAGTTTAGTGTCCCAGCAGGATCCATCGGCGTGCAAGTTGCAGGCAGGTCTTGACACTTCGCAGGGACCACAAGCATCAGTTCCACGGGGGTGGGAGTCAGGGATTAGTTTTGAGCTTGAGTCGACATGTTTCGATACTTGCTAGGTCTGCAACATGCGCGACCCATCAGCCCCGAAGCTTTACATCCTCGAGCACACAGACGGCGCAGGGCACAGGATGAAGTCCATCTTGGAAGCTATTGCTTTGTCATGGAGAAACAAGCTGAACTTCGGAGGTCTCATAGGCCAGCTGCAGCCACTAACAGACCAACATATCAACTTCCGCGTGGTGGTGGACGCCATCTTCGGGCCAGACGCTTCCAGAAACTTCTTCATCCACAACATCAGCAGCAAGCCCACTTTCACTGAGGTGCCAAGTGCTCGTGAGCTGGAGGCAAAACTGTCCAGTTTCCAACCTGGCACTCTGGTGTATTGCCATGCGGTGAATGAATGGCCGTCGCCTCAGCCATGTCAGGCACACTGTCAGCATGTAGCAAACGGCCCGGCATGCCGTTTTCAGTGTTTCAAGTGTTTCGTGCACGGCTCAGGGGCTATGACCGCAGCGTGCCTACCAGCGACTATTTTCCCGGCTGGCTGAGAGACCAGATGCGGCAGCACCTGGATTTGCAACCGCTCGTCTTTGCCAGTGGCAAGATCTCGGTTGTGATGCACCTGCGACGTGCAGATCTGGAAAGGAGCGACACGCGCGCTACCCCTGATGCTTACTACTATGGACTCGCAGAGGAGATCAAGAAGCTTCTGCCAGCCGAGAACCTGGATTTCCACGTGTGGAGCTCACCGAAGAACATACCTGCGTTCGACTATCACTTCTGGAAATCTGAGGACTTTGATGGGTATCGTCAGCGCGGTATGACGGTTCATTTGGACGAAAAGATTGACGACAACGACGACATGCTGAAAGCCTGGGTCCACATGTCCAGGGCGGACATCTTCATTATGTCTCAAAGCTCCTTCTCGATGGTTCCGGCATACATGAATACAAACTGCGTAATCTTCCCGTCCAACATCGACTCGCCTCTCGAGAACTGGGTCAACGGGAAGGATCAACAGCGGAGCAGCTACCGAACCGAGCTGGCCAAGTGCGTAGGGCATGCCAACAAGGACCGCAAGTCTGGTCTCACTGGAGCTGTGACGGGGACGAGTTTAGTGTCCCAGCAGGATCCATCGGCGTGCAAGTTGCAGGCAGGTCTTGACACTTCGCAGGGACCACAAGCATCAGTTCCACGGGGGTGGGAGTCAGGGATTAGTTTTGAGCTTGAGTCGACATGTTTCGATACTTGCTAGGTCTGCAACATGCGCGACCCATCAGCCCCGAAGCTTTACATCCTCGAGCACACAGACGGCGCAGGGCACAGGATGAAGTCCATCTTGGAAGCTATTGCTTTGTCATGGAGAAACAAGCTGAACTTCGGAGGTCTCATAGGCCAGCTGCAGCCACTAACAGACCAACATATCAACTTCCGCGTGGTGGTGGACGCCATCTTCGGGCCAGACGCTTCCAGAAACTTCTTCATCCACAACATCAGCAGCAAGCCCACTTTCACTGAGGTGCCAAGTGCTCGTGAGCTGGAGGCAAAACTGTCCAGTTTCCCACCTGGCACTCTGGTGTATTGCCATGCGGTGAACGAATGGCCGTCGCCTCAGCCATGTCAGGCACACTGTCAGCACGTAGCAAACGGCCCGGCATGCCGTTTTCAGTGTTTCAAGTGTTTCGTGCACGGCTCAGGGGCTATGACCGCAGCGTGCCTACCAGCGACTATTTTCCCGGCTGGCTGAGAGACCAGATGCGGCAGCACCTGGATTTGCAACCGCTCGTCTTTGCCAGTGGCAAGATCTCGGTTGTGATGCACCTGCGACGTGCAGATCTGGAAAGGAGCGACACGCGCGCTACCCCTGATGCCTACTACTATGGACTCGCAGATGAGATAAAGAAACTTCTGCCAGCCGAGGACCTGGATTTCCACGTGTGGAGCTCACCGAAGAACATACCTGCGTTCGACTATCACTTCTGGAAATCTGAGGACTTTGATGGGTATCGTCAGCGCGGTATGACGGTTCATTTGGACGAAAAGATTGACGACAACGACGACATGCTGAAAGCCTGGGTCCACATGTCCAGGGCGGACATCTTCATTATGTCTCAAAGCTCCTTCTCGATGGTTCCGGCATACATGAATACAAACTGCGTAATCTTCCCGTCCAACATCGACTCGCCTCTCGAGAACTGGGTCAACGGGAAGGATCAACAGCGGAGCAGCTACCGAGCCGAGCTGACCAAGTGCGTAGAGCGTGCAAAACAACGATTGGTCCAACGGGCCTGGAAGCGTACATGGGTGGTTGTCAAAAATGATGGTCCCTCTTTGGGTACCCTAAATAATGGGTGCGCTGTACTATATTAGGGATCCAAAAAGGGACCATAATTTGGACAACCACCCACATCTTTCCTGCAATTGGGAGGTGGGGGAGTGATTGAGCCTGGTATAAGTCACGGCTTCTGCACTCGGGTTACATTACATCTCGCTTCTCGGGACCTGCACGTTTCTGGGTATCACGGCTTCTGGCTTTTGGATTCTGGGAAGAGATGTATATGATACTGCTTGGTCCCCGCTCATTTTCTGCAGTATATCAGAACAGAAGATCCCCAACATGGCAATTGAGAACGACTGGTCCAACCTGAACGTGTCGAAAACAGCAATGTTGCAACATAGTTTCGCCGTCTTGTGTTTGTAATTCGTCTCAGACCCCATCCACAAACTCAGACTGGTAGGTTGTACCCAAATCCAAGCATTTACGCTGGTGTCAGTTTCGAGTCGAAGCCGTAAGCTGCGAGAAGCCAAAACAGAAAGCTGAAGCGTAAGCAAGGACGACGACAAGTGCAGCAGAATGGCTTGAGGTTGATTGCGTCGCACGTTGTGTAGTCGGAACGGTGGAGCTGCACGAGCCAATCTGCGCAGATGGCAGATGGAAGCCTTGAGTCGGCTTTTTACGTCCTAGTCCTTGCCGTAGTCTTCAGCGAAGTTCAGAGGGAAGCCGCCACCTTCCAGGCATCATCTGACCAGTCTGACATGGAGACCCGCTGGAGCCACGGTGTCTACAAGGTAGATAAAGTCACATTCAAGGGGCCTGCCTCATGCACTGAGCTAATTTGCGTGCTATGCACATACAGATATAGATGATGCTATGCACATACAGATATAGATGATACGATATGGCATTCAAGTATATGTGTAGATATGTATATATGTATA